TGTCTGCAAAATGATGCAACTAAACCGTCGTCTCAAACCTGGTTGGCAATGATAAAGTCGAAATATTTCTGTTCTTTGCCAAGGATGGTACGCTATTCTATACATCGAAAAGGCTTACGCACTCCTGTATTTTTGAGTTTCCTAAGGGCAAAACAAGTGACATCGCCAACTCTGCGCCAGAATTTATTGCGAGAAATTAAACTCTACTTCGAACAAATGTGGCAAGAAACTACGAAAACGCAAAGAAAACGATACGAGAAAGTTAAGCTCTGTTTTCTCTAAAGGCTTGTGGTAGTAGCGAATGTCAAGCTAGAATTCATTTCTTGCAGAAGAATTGAAAGCCGATAGCATAGACATAACAAAAATCCCAGGCATGGGAGAGCGTAACTGAACAGAGCACAACAAATTCATAAATATTGTTACTTTAGACTATTTCGGACGATGAGGAAGTGAAATGTGAAGCAAATTCAAAAGGTAAGTTCTCTGAAAGACCAATTGTTGCTCTTGCGCTGTGCAATTTTTGATATTATTATTATTATCCTGATTGATGAAATATGGGTATGCACCTTTCAACGGAAACAGCTAATATCAACCAGCATGTCATGCACGAGAATACATTGGAAAACCAGTGACGTACGGTATGTGAGTGGTAGTAGAATCTTCTAAAAAGCTTAATTGGGATGCTTTCACGATCCCTAAGCAAGGACAATCCTACCTGAAGTAGTCGTTGGTGTAAAAATACGGCCACACTCCTAGTGCTGATGGAAGCATAGTGAGAAATAGCAATATGTCAGCTATGGCCAAGGCTGATAGAAGATAATTTGCCTGAATGAGAATGAGGAATAGTTTAGTTCTAAAATAACCTAACGCATACTTCGCTTCGCATGTGACGACTGAGCAGAACGCAGAGGTTGAGCGCATTTCCGATAACACCAAGGAAGAACTGCACCGGGAACACGTACATGTAGAATGTGCTCATTCCTCCCACAATCAACGGTTTGTAAATCTCCGGACACGAGCCATTTATGAACTAAATATGCTCTTGTTGTTTTCAGTATTTGAGGACCAACTCATTGACTTTTTTGATTTTGCTACTTAGTGCATTTCAGAAGAATCCCTCTGAGACATTGGGCAGCCTTACAAATTGAAAGAGATTTTTGTAAGCAGGAGCTAGCGTGGTGTTGCGCCAAGGTAATCGAAACCAAGAGCTTGTAACACATCTAGGACGAGATAGACGTGGATCCTGGCTTTCAGTGTTAGTCTAAAATGCATCCAATATTTAGGGAAAGGCATTGTCGCGGCTACACGATGAGAGCAGGTCCTCGTAACAATTTGTCCTGGAGCGCTGTATGCCGCGTGATCGGTCGAGTACACTATTT